GTGTCCCCCACATGGCTTCTCACAAACTGCTTCTTATGGCTTTATTTCAACAATGGCTTTCTTCTTGCCACTCTTCCATAAAGGCCAGATTTGTGGAGTGCACGACTAATAGTTGTCCTGTGGACAGATTCTCCCACCTGAGCTGTGGATCTCTGCAATTCCTCCAGAGTTACCATGGACCTCTTGGCTGCTTCTCTGATGAATGCTCTCCTTGCCCGGCCTGTCAGTTTAGGTGGGCGGCCATGTCTTGGTAGGTTTGCAGTTGTGCCATACGCTTTTCATTTTCAGATGATGGATTGAACAGTGGCTCCGTGAGATGTTCAAAGCTTGGGAGATTTTTTAATAACCTAACCCTGCTTTAAACTTCTCTACATCTTTATCCCTGACCTGTCTGCTGTGTTCCTTGACCTTCATGATGCTGTTTGTCCACTAATGTTCTCTAACAAACCTCTGAGGGCTTCACAGAACAGCTGTATTTATACTGAGATCAATGACACACAGGTGGACTCTGTTTACTAATTAGGTGACTTCTGAAGGCAATTAGTTCCACTAGATTTTAGTTAGGGGTATCACAGTAAAGGGGACTAAATACAAACGCACACCACACTTTTCAGATATTTATTTGTAAAAACCTTGTGTTGGTCTATCACATAAAATCCCAATAAAATACATTTAGGTTTTTGGTTGTAACATGACAAAATGTGGAAAATTTCAAGGGGCATCAATACCTTTTCAAGGCGCTGTACCAGGTCATTTACACAACAACTGAAAAGAAAATAAGTTCAACAGCAACCCTGGCCCTTTATAATAGGTTTTGTTTACAACCACCCTCTGGTTTCTGTCCTCTACTCAGTTTATTGCCCATTTATATTTGTTCTCCCTCAGTCTTTGTACCAGGCTGCTATGGGGAAAGGTGTCAAATAGTTTTGTGCAATCCAAATACATTATATTTGCAACCTCATCGATGTCTATTGAAGCACAGTAGCTGCAGACATAGCCAATGTGCCCCAATATGACATCTGCGAGGGTGAGGTGCCTATCCATGAACAAGGTGAGTTCCAGGACCCACACCCATGCGGATGTCATATTGGGACACAGTGGCTCTGTCTTTGCAGCTGCTGTGTCCCAACAGACATCAATGGGACTGTTGGCACGGGCAGGAATGCGTGTTACCAACACCAAGGTCTATGGGTCCCTATGACCACATACACCCACATGGATGCCATATTGGGACACAGTGGCTGTGTCCATGCAGCTTCTGTGTCCCAACAGACATCAATGGGACTGCCTACACGGGGATGCATGCGTGTTACCAACACCAAGGTCTATGGGTTCCTATGATCAACTATTCCCCACATGCACCCACACTCACATGGATGCCATATTGGGACACAGTGGCTGTGTCTTTGCAGCTGCTGTATCCCAACAGACATCAATGGGACTGCCTGCATGGGGATGCATGTGTGTTACCAACACCAAGGTTTATGGGTTCCTATGACCCACTATGTCCACATGCACCCACACCCACATGGATGCCATATTGGGACACAGTGGCTGTGTCTTTGCAGCTGCTGTGTCCCAATAGACATCACTGAAACTGCCTGCATAGGGATGCACGTGTGTTACAACACCTAGATCTATAGGTTCCTATTACCCACATGGATGCCATATTGGGACACAGCAGTTGTGTCCGTGTAGCTGCTGTATCCCAATAGACATCACTGGGACTGCCTGCATGGGGATGCACGTGTGTTATCAACACCTAGGTCTATGGGTTCCTATTACCCACTATGACCACATGCATGTCATGTTGGGACACAGCAGTTGTAGCTACTGTGCCCCAATAGACATCACTGGGACTGCATGGATAAGGATGCACGTGTGTTACCAACACCAAGGTCTATGGGCAACCCTGGTGGAATGCCCCGGCAGAATCTGGCCCTTTGGAAAGGGTTTTGTTTACAACCACCATTTGGTTTCTTCCTACCAGTTTTTTACCCATATATTTGTTCTTCCTCAGTCCCTGTAGCAAGCTATTATGGGGAAAGGTGTCAAATGGCTTTATGTAATCCAAATACATTTTATCTGCAGTCCCATAGATGTCTATTGGGATACAGCAGCTGCACAAACACAGGAGCTGTACTCCCATTTGACATCTGTGTGGGTGAGGGTGCCTGTCCCTAAAAACACATAGGTCGAGTTTGAGGACACGCACCCATACGGATGACATATTGGGACATAGCGGTTGTGTCCGTGCAGCTGCTATGTCCCAACAGACATCAATGGGACTGCCTGCATGGGGATGCATGTGTGTTACCAACATCCAGGTCTATGGGTTCCTATGCTTTTTATATCACAAAAAAAAAAAAAAAAAAAAAAAACAAGCATGCAGAAGAGTGTCTCACCTCTATGTAAAATCTTTAAACTCCAGAGGTAAGTTAGCCCTTTAAGTACCTGTGAACAAATAAAGACTAATGATAACCATCATCTACACACAGTACAAAACATTAACAATAACATATAAAGCCATTTATAACTCCGCCCAAAATTACATCACCGATCTTGTCTCCAAGTATAACCCAAACCGTCCTCTCCGCTCCTCGCACGACCTCCTGTTCTCTAGCTCCATTGTCTCCTCCTCCCATGCTTGTCTCCAGGACTTCACCAGAGCCTCCCCCATCCTCTGGTACTATCTACCCTAATCTATCCGACTATCGCCTACTCTACCCACTTTTATGCCGGCCATAGACGGGTCAAAAATCAGCCGATTTTTCGGCCGAAAAAACAATTGTCCAATTTTCGCACTGTTAGTGGGTTAATTGGTGGGGAGGAGGAGGAGGAGGAAGAGGAGGAGAACTCCACTATTATATTTTATATGAAAAAGTTTTGCGGTTGCAACAAATGTATCCATTTGTATCCAAATAAAACATAATGTATTTGTATTGCTGTCACATTGTATGGTGTGCTCCCCTGTCTCTGTCAAACTGGTTTCTTGTCCCATTCTTTCGTGAGCATTGGTGGCAGCATCAGCAACAAAGTCAACCAATTTTTCGTTTATTCGGCCAATAAACAGTCCATCTATGACCTGCATTATTATTATACAGTATTTATAAAGCGCCAATAGTTCGCTCAGCGCTGTACATTACAAAGGGGGACAGAACATGTGACAGAACAACACCAATACAATGCAAAACATGAGGGGATTGAGGGCCCTGCTCCTTGGAGCTTACAATCTAGGATCTAGGTAGGCCATCTCTTAAAACCTCTCTCTTCAGGGAAGCCTATCCCGCCTTCAGCTAATACTGGAATCGTCTACTCTTCCTACCAGTCCATCCCCCACAGTTATTACCTTTCGTACCACTAGCCCCTCCCTCCTAGATTGTAAGCTCCCAGGATCATATATTTGTTCTCCCTCAGTCTTTGTACCAGGCTGCTATGGGGAAAGGTGTCACATGGTTTTGTGCAATCCAAATACATTATATTTGCAACCTCCTATCCCTCTTGTATTGAACTGTATGGTTGCTGTATTGTCTCCCGTTATATTGTAAAGTGCTGAGCAAACTGTTGGCGCCATAAATCCTGTATAATAATAAATAATAATCATAATAATAATAATATATAAATCCTGTATAATAATAATAATAATATATAAATTCTGTATAAATCCCTGTATAATAATAATAATATAAATCCTGTATAATAATAATAATATAATAAATCCTGTATAATAAATAATATAATAAATATATAATCCTGTATAATAATAATATATAAATCCCGTATAATAATAATAACATAAATCCTGTATAATAATAATAATATAAATCCTGTATAATAATAATAATATAAAAATCCTGTATAATAATAATAACATAAATCCTGTATAATAATAATAATAATATAAATCCTGTAATATATAATATAAATTCTGTATAATAATATAAAAAATCCTGTATAATAATAATATATAAATCCCGTATAAATAATAATAATAATATATAATAATTCTGTATAATAATAATATATAAATCCTGTATAATAATAATATATAAATCCTGTATAATAATTTAATATATAATAATAATAATATAAATCCTATAATAATAATAATATAAATTCTGTATAATAATAATAATATAAATCCTGTATAATAATAATAATAATCATAATAATAATAATAATATATAAATCCTGTATAATAATAATATATAAATCCCGTATAATAATAATAATAATCCATAATAATAATATATAAATTCTGTATAATAGTAATATATAAATCCTGTATAATAATAATAATATATAAATCTGTATAATAATAATAATAATAATATAAAATCCTGTATAATAATAATAATAATATATCAAATTCTGTATAATAGTAATATATAAAATTCTGTATAATAATAAAAATAAATAATAAATTCCTGTATAATAATAATAATATAAATCCTGTATAATAATAATAAGTACAGTGGCTTAGTCCTTAGCACTTTAACCTTGCAGCCTCTGTGCTCTATAAAGTGCAGCAGAAATTTTCTGCACTAGATAAACAAACGGAACTAATAAATGATAGAAATATCCCTTTACATACTGCCGGTGTACTAAAGGCTCCATTTTAGCATGTGGGCAGCAGGCCTGGTTTCCTTACAGTGCAGTGCAGTACAGAGGCGGTGCACTTAATGCTTCAGGGCTCTGCATGTTCTTTCACACTTCTTTCATGTCTCCGCACAGCGACTCAGTGCACTCTGGTGACACGTGACACCTTCCAGTGCGCTACGGTGCAATGCTACAATTCTGAATGTTACTGCAGCTGCATTGCAGTGTGAACAGGGCACATTGAGAACAATTGCTTTCTACATGCCCCAGCGGTGATTTGCGTTGATACAGTGTGGGAAAGCATAGGTCATCTGTGAATCCTTAGAGTGATTTTAACCACTTGCCGTCTGGCTGCTGTATATAAACGGCTGGACGGTGGCAGTGCAGGGGCGGGTTGCCGTTCATAAATGGCGCCCGCCATTTTGGACTGTACGCGTTCCCTGGGAGCGCGCAGCACCGTGATCCGGTGCCCGCTGTGTCCTCTGTGTGAGGTCACAATCATGTGATCACTGATTGGCCAATCAGTGAACACATGCAGAGTAGTAAGCAAGATGTCACTTCTGACATCATTGCTTACTACGTGTGAAATCTGTGAATGATCACAGAGGTCATATGGTTCAGGGCTATTCACAACTGCCTTGTACCATGTGACAAGCTGTGACCAATCACAGCTCACTCAGTATTTCTCAATAGCTGCAAGAATGAAGCCAGAGAGAAGGAGAAATGATAGCTTTTACAGTCCTAGGCAAGAAATGAGGATGTGGGAGAAGGTATCTGTCAAAAAAGGTACTCGCTCCTCATTAAAAAAAAATAAAATTCAAAAGGGTCGAGGATAAGCATCACTCTTTTAAATGAAGGTCTGCTTTAAAGTACTGTATATGTAAAGCCAAAACTTAATTTTTGTATTATTATTACTATTATTAATAATTAATAATAATAATAATAATAATAATAATATTGGATACAGTATTGATTGTTTTTTTTATCCAAGTCTCATTTGGGAGATTCTCCTTTACTTTCTGTTCTGTCTCTTAGATTGTAAGCTCCCAGGATCAGGGCCCTCCTAACCCTCTTGTATTGAACTGTATTGTTGCTGTATTGTCTCCCGTTATATTGTAAAGTGCTGAGCAAACTGTTGGCGCCATAAATCCTGTATAATAATTATAATAATAATAATATATAAATCCTGTATAATATAATAATAATAATAATAGACAGAACAGGAAGTGAAGGAAATCCCCTCTTAGCTGTCACCGGAACATATGTCCTTGTTGGAAGATTTCACTCTATTCTTGTCCTGATGACAACTTTTTTGATTTTCCTTCACTTGTAGTCCTAACAACAATGGTCACCAGAGCAAATAGATGATCGTTAATCTACTGAGTGGGGAAACAAACAGAGATAAAACCTCTTACCACTGTGCTAGAAAAAAAATGTTTTGCTGCTGGATACACTCAACATTATAATGTACTATATCTGGGGGGGGGATTGAGAATAGTGATAGGTGCAAAATATTTATAACATGAATTACAAATCCATTTTACAAATCGATTACATAAATAATGATATTTTATTTGAAAAGATTCCCACTTTTTAACATGATATTTTAACCTTTTCGTTGCCAGAGCCGTTTTTGCACATTTTCAAAAATCATAAGATTGCATAAACCCCCAAAACATTATATATTTGTTAAAAAGCAGAGACCCTAGAGAATAAAATAGTGGTAGTTGCAATTTTTTTTAAATGACGTACAATAAAAACCGCACAGGTCTGGGAAACGCAACATTTCAGTAAAAAAATACACTAAAGTTAATTTTAGGGCACACAAATGCAATATATTACCCAATTTTTGGTAAAATATAAAAAAGATGGGGTTGTGCTGCGTAAATAGATACCCAACATGTCAAACCTTAAATTTGCTTGCACCCATGAAATGGCGACAAACTTTAGTATCCTATCATTTCCATTGGTGGTGATGCTTTGAAAGTCCCCTACAGGTCATCAATTTACGGGGGTGGTCTGGTGCTAGAATTATTGCTCTCATTCCGGTGTGCGTGGCAATATGTAACGTGTATCAAAATCGACTTTTTCATGCGTAGGCACCCCCATTGCATGTGTTTATGTTTGTGCGTGAGTATATATAGGGGGCCTCAAAAAATTTTGTGGGGGGGGGGGGGGGGATTTTAGGTGCTTGGGCATAACTTTTTACAATTTAAAAACTTTTTTTTCATCACATATGGGACAAAAAAGTCCAGATATGTGATGATTTTTTGGTGACAGGGTCTCTTTAATGAGACATCCGGGGTCTAAAAGACCCCGGATGTCTCCCCTGTACTCCACTGAATGTAATGCAATGCAGATCGCATTGCATTAGATTCTTTCCGGCCCTAGTGGCTGGGGAACACTGACAAGGAGACCTGGAAGTGACGTTTTACGTGTCAACTCCAGGTCAGCAGCAAGAAGGGGAGGAGAGGGGACGTGTGTCCACTCTGCTCCCTCAACCCCACTCACCATTAACGAATGCTTCTATCTGACAGGAGTCAGCGTGTCAGATGTACACACAATCCTGGTGTCTGTGTGTAAAACCACCCCGCTGTCAGGTCTGTACGGCATACCCCATATGGAAGAAAAATATATTTGAAATATATTTAAAAAATATTCTTCCCAAATATATTGGCATATATTTGAAATGCTACAATTTTGGCTGTATTCAATATATTTCAAAATGTATTTCAATAAATATATATATACACTGTATGTTGAAATGCGTTTTTTTAAAATATATTCTTCAGATTTTCTTGAACATATAAAAAAAGTAATTTTAACATATATTTTTACATATATTTGTAAATGCATTCCAAAATGTAGATTTATTTTTAAAAACATATAGTATATCTTGAAATATTTTTTTTTAACATATAAAAAAAGTCATTTTAACATATATTTTTACATATATTTGTAAATGCATTCCAAAAATGTAGGATTTGTATTTTTAGACATACAGTATATTTGAAATATATTTTAAAAAATATTTTTCAGATATCTTCTAATAAAAACACATTTCAACATCCAGTGTGTGTATGTATATATATATATATATATATATATATATATATATATATATATATCTAATCTTTATTTATTTATTGAAATAAATGATATATTTGTAAACATATTGAATATGACCAAAATTGTAGCATTTCAAATATATGTCAATATATTTGGGAAGAATATTTTAAAAATATATTTCAAATATATTTGTCTTCCCTGTGGGACAGACCTGGCAGCAAAGGGGTTCAAGGATTTCAAGCAAGCAAAAAGTTTTCATTCTCATTACAATAGCCCCCTCCACACCTCCTATATACTGCAGAGCCATGGATGAGCAAGAGCCAGGATAGTAAACCTATTACAGAGATTATTAGAGATACTTACAGCAACTGAAATCCTTCCCAAAACCTGCTCCGGAATCTTCCTGTACACATCCAAGGATCCTCCTGTGTTGTGAAAGAAGAAACAAAATACACTGGAGTGCCATGTTCTGTAAAGTCATTCCTGTGGTGAAGGCTACCATTAGGTCCACACTTTTTGTTTGAAGGTTACCATTAGGTCCACACTTTTTGTTTGAAGGCTACCATTAGGTCAAACTTTTTGTTTGAAGGCTACCATTAGGTCCAAACTTTTTGTTTGAAGGTTTTTTGTTTGAAGGCTACCATTAGGTCCAAACTTTTTGTTTTGAAGGCTACCATTAAGTCCAAACTTTTTGTTTGAAGGTTACCATTAGGTCCAAACATTTTGTTTGAAGGCTACCATTAGGTCCAAACATTTTGTTTGAAGGCTACCATTAGGTCCAAACTTTTTGTTTGAAGGTTACCAACCAAACATTTTGTTTTGAAGGCTACCATTAGGTCCAAACTTTTTGTTTGAAGGCTACCATTAGGTTTTAAACTTTTTGTTTGAAGGTTACCCATTAGGTTTTAAACTTTTTGTTAAGCATTAACTTTGCATGATCTCTTATTCGCCTGTGGTATTTCTTGCAGGAATGTATACCAAGACGTTGGCACCCACATTACATCGTCAGAAAAAAGCAGCAGATGTTCCAACAAGGTGGTACTTCGTTCCTTCTCGTCTTGCAGAGATGTATCCAGGTAATTCTACACTTTGTTTCAGGGCTTATGCCTTATGCGGCTCAGTACACCATACCTGGTGGGAGTTTCCACCTTCTGCCCAGGGCCCCGCCCTATGTGCCTCCCACCTCCTCAGTGCTGCCAGCTTCCCTCCTCTCCTTCACACCGGCAGCTGCAAGCACACCATAGGATACTTCAGGATGGAGAGTGGGGGAAGGTTCTGGTAAATATTTCACATTTATCAGCCACGTCTTTTCCTGAATGAACACAATGAGTGATCGGTATTGATTTCTCACTGTGTTCATGTTCATCATAACTGAAGAATAGTAGTATGGGACCTGTCAGGTTGGCTTCATTGCGCCCTGTGCATTCTAATAGCAGCCTTGGCTTTAGTTACATGAATGGAGGAGATGGGCAGAAAGGGTGGCCATAGCTGGGTACCACAGATTATGGTGATGGGGGCAGGGGCATAATGGAACCCAGGAGCTAGCAGCACAAGGGACACATCAGTTTATTACTAAGACAAGTCCCTTGTGCTGATTTCAGTTTTTTTTTAAATGTAACTATACTTAGGCTTACAGATAGGTTCACACCTACGGGTGCGACCGAGTGTGCGTCCATTCCCACGATTCGTGTGTAAGAAAGCCCATTTATTTCAGTGGGTTGCCCTACATGCGAGAAACACATAAAGAAGCCCCTGACTCTTTTCCAAAAACACACCACAGCAGACTGCATGGTCTGGCATGCAAGAACACGTGACAACAACTAATGGTACCATCAAACATCTGCTAAAAGGCAACGCATTTCTGTGCCTAGTATGTGTGTGAAGGATTGCCTCTCTCCCATCCTGCCCATGCAGCCAAGGAGCTAGGAGCGACTTCATCCTACTTGTCATGGTCAAACCACCCCCCTCACAAGTTTTGCCCCACCCACCGGGGCTTAGTCATAGGCCTATGACCAAGCCCCGAAGGAAGGGTGAAACACGTCACGGGCATGGTTTGGTGGAGACATGGAGGCTGAGGCCCTGCCTAACTCCTTGGCTGCAGGAGCTGGATAAGAGAGTGGTGATCCTTTTACCACCTACAAGGCACAGAAACGCGTTGCCCTTTATCAGACATGTGATGGTGCCATTAATTGTTGGCACGTGTTCATGTGCACCAGACCATATGGTGGCGGACACTCCGCTTTCTTGACGATCTAGGGAAGAAGCTCCTCTGTTTCTATTGGGCAATAACAACATTTTGGGCACATTCCCAGCATGCAAAGGTGTAACCCTAGCCTTAATGTTGCTTTGTGTGCAGATACCACCGTTTAAAAGAGAAGTATGGGGTTAATTTTTTTCCCCATTATACTTACCTAGGTGGATGACGCATCGGTCTGATGCTTCATCTGTCCCACAACGGTTCTAAGGGTGATCACATGACCGCTGATCACAGAGTTCACCTTGTAGAGAATGGGACTGTCAGTCACCGCTGTCTGCTCAGCCCCCCCAAGTGCTCACTGGACCACTGGGCTGTGGAGGGGGAGGGAGCGGCTGGCTCAGGTTCTAAGTGCTTCGCTGAGAGGCTGGGCTAGGTGCCGCTCCAGTTTCTGGGGTGGATCCTAACTTTGAAGTCGGGATCTTTCCCCAGCCTGGACCGGCTGATTGATGTCAGCTGACAGCGGACTTCGGTCCACTGTCGGCTGAAAACGGGTCACAGGCGTGCAGAACAAACTGATCCACAGGAGAACTACAAACAAAAGAGCTTTGGCTGTACGTCTCCTTTAACCACTTCCCGTCTGGCGGACGGGAGCAGTGCAGGAGCGGGTTGCCGTTCATAAAACGGCGCCCGAATTTAAAGGCTGTGCATGCTCCGTGGGAGCGAACACCGATCGCTATACGGGACCTCTGCGTTAGGTCCTGATCATGTGATCTCTGATTGGCCAATCAGTGATCACATGAATAGTAGTAAGCAATATGTCACTTCTGACATCATTGCTTACTACGTGTGAAATCTGTGAATAATCACAGAGGTCACATGGTACAGGGCTATTTACAATAGCCTTTAACCATGTGACAAGCTGTGACCAATCACAGCTCACACAGTATTTCTCAATGGCTGCAAGAATGTAGCCAGAGAGAAGGAGCAATGATGATTGATTTTACAGCCTTTATGGGTGTAAAAGAAATCAGTGTAAAAAAAAAAAATCTTCATCACCCCCCACACAGTATGGTGACATTGTACTGCTAGGGTGAAGTATGTTAAAAAAAAAAACATAAATAATAATATAAAAAAATTTAATAAAAATGTAAAAAAAAATTAGAAAAATTATAATTTTTGGTTATATAAACTAATTTGGGTTATTTTTTTTTACTAAAAAAATGGATGAATACATTTTGGCCAAGATTTATGAAGAAAGATTTATTTGCAAAATTTTATAAGAAAAACACTTTTTTTTTTTCAAAAATTTTGGACTGTTTCATTTATATAGCAAAAAATAAAAAATCCCAGTGGTGAATAAATACCACCAAAATAAAGTTTTATCTGTCTCAAAAAGAATGCTAAAAAATTAATATGGGTAGAGTGTTGCATGACCGCTCAATTGTCATTCAAAGTGTGATAGCACTGAAAGCTGAAAATTGGCCTGGACAGGAAGGAGGTAAAAGTGTCCGGACTGGAAGGGGGTGAAAGTGTCCGGACTGGAAGGGGGTGAAAGTGTCCGGACTGGAAGGGGGTGAAAGTGTCCGGACTGGAAGGGGGTGAAAGTGTCCGGACTGGAAGGGGGTGAAAGTGTCCGGACTGGAAGGGGGTGAAAGTGTCCAGACTGGAAGGGGGTGAAAGTGTCCAGATCAGACTGGAAGGAGGTGAAAGTGTCCAGACTGGAAGGGGGGGTGAAAGTGTCCGGACTAGAAGGGGTGGGAAAGTGTCCGGACTGGAAGGGGGGGGGGAAAGTGTCCGGACTGGAAGGGTGGGAAGTGTCTGGACTGGAAGTGGTTAACCCCTTCACGCCGGCGCTTAACGGCCCTTTAAGAGTTTCAGAAGCTGGGAGGAGGGGCAAGGTTTAGGGTCATGTGATCGGGAAAGGTCCCAATCGAGAGAGGAGATCGGGACCTTTCCGTGAGTACCAGACATGTGTGCCGGGAGCATTCTCGGCACATATGTCCTTTTTAAATAGAATGCAAATGTGCGGCCACTTGGCGTCTAGGCCCAGATGCCAGGAGGCCGCACATTTGCGTTCAGCCGGCGTGAAGAGGTTAATGAGCTATAGGTGTCTACAGATGGTTCAAAGTGCAGCAGTTGTGTAATAAAAGCAGTAAACTACACAAAACAATCACAAATAATTTGAACTCACAACTTGCTTGCCGTAGATAATAATTGAATAATCCCAACAATACACCCTACTTATCTGATTAAACTCACCATCCATAAACTCCGTACAGATAGAAATTCGATTCTCTGCAAAAAACGCTCCGTAAAAGCCGATTATGTAAGGCGAATCGCACTGCGAAACAAAAGGAAAGTGATGCTGTCAGAAAACAGAGCGCCATTTGTGACAATTCCCCATGTGGAGTCGCCAAGCTCACGCACCTTGTACAGAATCTCCAGCTCTGACATAATCTGTCTCTGCAGCTCCACAGTAATGTCTAACGGGATGACCTATGGAGAACAGACACAAAAAACACTTGTCACTGATTGATACTGTGTGTTCGGCTTGCCACGGATAGCAGCGGTATACTCCATTATAAGCCCTCAAACAAGCCAAGGCTTGTGCTGTCACACTGGTACAAGTGTGTTCTTCTCCGCTTGCTGATGAGAATCAACCAACAGCCCCTATATCAAAAGTCTCAGCAAGCACGGTACAAAGAGATTGAAACTACGAGGGGCAAGGATTTTTACACACCACAGTGAAGGCGATAAATGGTATGGACTCCCATCCTGAACATGTAATGGAGCCTACCCTGGACCCTACAAGAGATGTAATGCAATCACCTCCCAGAAAGTGAGTCCACCTCTCACATTTCTGTAAATCTTTGATTCCCTCTTTTTATGTGACAACACTGAAGAAATGACACTTTGCTACAATGTGACGTAGTCAGTGTACAGCTTGTATAATATGTAAATTTGCTGTCCCCTCAAAATAACTCAACACACACCACCATTAATGTCTAAACCGCTGGCAACAAAAGTGAGTTCACCCCTAAGTGAAAAAATCCAAAATGGGCCCAAAGTGTCAATATTTTGTGTGGCCCAAGCCATTATTTTCCACCACTGCCTTAACCCTCTCGGGCATGGAGTTCACAGAGCTTCACAGGTTGCCACTGGAGTCCTCTTCCATTCCTCCATGACGACATCACGGAGCTGGTGGATGTTAGAGACCTTGCGCTCCTCCACCTTCCGTTTGAGGATGCCCCATAGATGCTTAATAGGGTTTAGCTCTGGAGATATGCTTGGGCCAGTCCATCACCTTTACCCTCAGCTTCTTTACCAAGGCAGTGGTGGTCTTGGAGGTGTGTTTGGGGTCGTTATGTTGGAATACTGCCCTGCGGCCCAGTCTCTGAACTATACATGTAATTTGCTGTCCCCTCAAAATAACTCAAACACCGCCATTAATGTCTAAACCGCTGGCAACAAAAGTGAGTCCACCCCTAAGTGACAAGGTCCAAATTGAGCCCAATTAGCCATTTTCTCTCTGGTGTCATGTGACTCGTTAGTGTTACAAGGTCTCAGGTGTGAATGGGGAGCGGTTGGGTTACATTTGGTGTTATCGCTCTCACTCTCTCATACTGGTCACTGGAAGTTCAACATGGCACCTCATGGCAAAGAACTCTCTGAGGATCTGAAAAAAAGAATTGTTGCTCTACATAAAGATGGCCTAGGCTATAAGAAGATGCCAAGACCCTAAAACTGAGCTGCAGCACAGTGGCCAACACCATACAGCGGTTTAACAGGACAGGTTCCACTGAGAACAGGCCTCGCCATGGTCCACCAAAGGAGTTGAGTGCACGTGCTCAGCGTCATATCCAGAGGTTGTCTTTGGGAAATAGACGTATGAGTGCTGCCAGCATTGCTGCAGAGGGTGAAGGGGGGGGGGGGGGTCAGCCTGTCAGTGCTCAGACCATACACCGCACACTGCATCAAATTGGTCTGCATGGCTGTTGTCCCAGAAGGAAGCCTCTTCTAAAGATGATGCACAAGAAAGACCGCAAACAGTTTGCTGAAGACAAGCAGCCTAAGGACATGGATTACTGGAACCATGTCCTGTGGTCTGATGACACCAAGATACACTGATTTGGTTCAGATGGTGTCAAGTGTGTGTGGCGGCAACCAGGCGACGAGTACAAAGACAAGTGTGTCTTGCCTACAGTCAAGCATGGTGGTGGGAGGGTCATGGTCTGGGGCTACATGAGTGCTGCCGGCACTGGGGAGCTACAGTTCATTGAGAGAACCATGAATGCCAACATGTACTGTGACATACTGAAGCAGAGCATGATCCTCTCCCTTCGGAGACTGGGCCGCAGGGCAGTATTCCAACATAACGACCCCAAACACACCTCCAAGACCACCACTGCCTTGCTAAAGAAGCTGAGGGTGAAGGTGATGGACTGTCCAAGCATGTTTCCAGACCTGAACCCAACTGAGCATCTGTGGGGCATCCTCAAACGGAAGGTGGAGGAGCGCAAGGTCTCTAACATCCACCAGCTCCGTGATGACGTCATGGAGGAGTGGAAGAGGACTCCAGTGGCAACCTGTGAAGCTCTGGTGACCTCCATGCCCAAGAGGGTTAAGGCAGTGCTGGAAAATAATGGCGGCCACACAAAATATTGACACTTTGGGCCCAATTTGGACCTTGTCACTTAGGGGTGGACTCACTTTTGTTGCCAGCGGTTTAGACATGAACCATTTGCCGCCCGCCCTATGGCCGAATGGCGGCCGGCAAATGTCATCAGCGTTCCGGGTGGACGCCATATGGCGTCCTCCTGCACATGTGCAGATTGCGCTCCTGCAGAGCCGCGCGGCGCGATCTGTCACTGGGCGTGCACCTCGGACACGGCCGATGACAGATCTGAGTATCGGCCCCCGTTGCCGGTACCATGTGACCTGCTGTGACCAATCACAGCAGGTCACATGACAGTTGTATACAATGGATGGCTTCATTCATGCCATCCATTGTATACTAGTGTCTAGCTGTGAATGGTCACAGCTAATCACATGCACACGTCATGTGATTAGCTGTGGCCAAATCACAGCTAAGCACAAAAAAAAAAAAAAAAAACCCTGAATGAATCGATGTCATTCAGGTAAAAGGTTAGGTATGTAATGAACGGTGTTAAATAAAATACACAATAACACTGAGAAGAGGCTATGACAGACGCTAAACTTTGGTTAAATTTCCTTTCAAACAAAGAATTAGGACTAGAGTTAGCCCACTAATGGCTATTATCAGTTTCCTTGTGTATGTATCCTGTTTGCATTATTTGTAAAAGATAAAGAGAGATGGAAGAAAAGGAAAGGTATGAAAGAGAAAGTGAGAAGAACACTATAGATCAAGGGCAGGTAACCTTCGACAGGTGGAGATCTACTAAGACAACACGGAAGAGAGCAAAGATCACCGGGGTGCAGCACCCTTTTTTTAATAACTCAACTAGCAAGCCCCCAGAGGTCAGTATTGGGTAGGGCAGTGTATAGAGGTCAGTAGTGGGTAGGGCAGTGTATAGAGGTCAGTATTGGGTAGGGCAGTGTACAGAGGTCAGTATTGGGTAGGGCAGTGTACAGAGGTCAGTATTGGGTAGGGCAGTGTATAGAGGTCAGTATTGGGTAGGGCAGTGTACAGAGGTCAGTATTGGGTAGGGCAGTGTACAGAGGTCAGTATGGTAGGGCAGTGTATAGAGGTCAGTATTGGGTAGGGCAGTGTATAGAGGTCAGTATTGGGTAGGGCAGTGTATAGAGGTCAGTATTGGGTAGGGCAGTGTATAGAGGTCAGTATTGGGTAGGGCAGTGTACAGAGGTCAGTATTGGGTAGGGCAGTGTATAGAGGTCAGTATTGGGTAGGGCAGTGTACAGAGGTCAGTATTGGGGGTAGGGCAGTGTACAGAGGTCAGT